CCCCCCCACTATAGATGTTATGACAGTTAACCACGCCGCCTCGGTAAGCGAATGTGACGCAGACGGCTTTTTACGGCTGCTCTTCACAGTCTGTTAGCATGGCGTCCGGACGACTGTTTTTACTGCCCGTAAATGGAGCGCCGTGCATATTTTCGGAGTCTTTAGCAGGACAGTCGGGAGACACGCAAACCGTTGGGGCCTTATTGTAAAACAACGACGGAGCCTCTCGGCCGAACGTAAACTGGAGAAGCTTTCTGCCGCGTGTCACGGAGAGACGAGATGGTGTCTTCGGTGACATACAACTCCTGAGTTGCATTATTCAACATTGGTTGTCATGCTACGGCCTTGCTATTGATGCTTTTCCGTCGGCAAAACCAGGTTACATGAGGTGCTCTTTCTAGTGGCTGATCAGTCAGAGTTCCAACCTCGAGCAGATTTGTCATGGTAACATTTTTGGGAAACACGGCGAGAAATGACCAAATTAGACACGAACGCTAACCTTATAGCTCTGGATGCTGCAGTATTATTCTAGCAGTCAGCTGCAACCCTCCATTTTGTTGAATAACCTGTTATAGTCTGTTGAATAATATTTCTGCATCAAGATAACATTTAAGGATACATGACAACAACAAAAATACGTGCTAACATTAGCTCATCGTGTTCCCTTGCCTTATCTCTGGATGCTATGAGATGATACTCCACACTCTAGTTAACAGCATTGCTCCGTTTTCTCATTGCCCTCAGTCTCCCGAATCAAATTTTCCACCTCATTTTAACATTTGAGGAAAGACGAAATGGCCAGAAATAAACACATACAGTATGCTCACAGTTTAGCATGGTTCTTTGCTTGAGCACTGGGCGCTGCAGCATTTTACTCCACTCTTGGCCTCCACTGACCTCGGTCTCCTCTCAACTAAAATGTGAAGTAATGGATTCCCAAAAAAGAAAAGATTCAAACTGTTAAGAGTACAAAAAAAAGTTCTTGCTTTGACCTGGGCCTTATTGTTTAAGTATTAAGTCTGAAACTGCAAAATGAATTTGGTTAGACCCCAAGAAGGACCTCCAGAGCTCTTAACCTCCTGAGCTACCTTGTGTTGTACATCATTAAAAACCAAGAGGTTCTAACCGGACAACCACCCAAAATGTGGTTACAAACTGCTGCGATTGGTTGAGCCACAATCAACATACAGTATTCTCAAAAACCATCATACAAAGCCTGGATATTATTTTCCCCACAAACACGTACACCAGCTGCTGTCCGCTGAGAAAATAGAAGTGCGCTTTGTTGGAAAACCGTGACATCGGCCCGTTACATTTATATTTTCTCAACAAAGTGCGGAAAGGCTGTACAGTGCGGCGACATCTGCATGGCGTTTACAGCCCGGAGAAACAATGACGCCTCTTAGTCTTGCAACACAACTGCTATTTGTCACTTGTATGCTGATAATATTCATGCGGGGAGGGTCCGGGGGGGGGGGGCATTGTATGGGTCTGGAAATGGATGTTAAATTCATTCATCCAATACGGATGGAGTGAAGCGAGCATGTGTTTTGGCGGTCTCACTCGCCAATGAGCGATGACCACCGAGCGATCGCCATGTTGTCGCGATAAACAAACGTTCGCACACGAGGACATCGGTGAGTCTTCATCGAACTTAGCATGTGTGTTTTCGGAATGTGGGAGGCTCGAGTACACTGGCTTCCTAAATTGTTACTGCCATCATTATTATGACATTTATATGATGGTGACCAACCAGTCCAAAAATAATGCGTTCCCTCAAACAAGAGCAGCCGCTTTATCAGAACTGGAAGAGATTTGCCAATAAAAAGAACATCAAAGTTTTCTGTCGACTTTCCCACATAGAACGAAAAAAAAAATGTGTGTGCTAAATGTCCGCTTGCTTGATTTAAAAACGACTTTAACTCAATACAGAAAAACCCGTCTTCTCATACGAGACGACTGCTGGAGCAGACTGTAACACTGAGAATGTGTCAGCTCTGTGAGTCCCGCTCCAAAAAGCAGCTGGATGCCCGTCCGCCACGCCCTGTTCGCCTCCTCTCATTGGTCAGGTACGTACAACAAACATCACGCTGTCATTTTCCACCAGCTCAGCGCGAAAAAGTGTTTCACGCTGCATTTTTTTTTTGGGGGGTCCAAACAATGCGTGCGTGTATGTGTTTCATAGACCCACATGGCTTTGCCTTGGCTCAGCAATCTCTCCCTTTTTGTGGTCATATGGTTAATAATGGTGCAGTTATTGTTCTGACTCAGAGTATTAAAAAAAAAAAGGCCTGCTCGATAGCTTTGTAAGTGATTTGGAGACGTTTTTGAAGTATTATGCCATGGTGACAGTGATCCTTTATCAAGGTCCAAGTAGCAGCCTGCTTTGCCGCTATTGAGCGTGCACGAGGCTTGCAACGACTGTGGAGTGACTGCAAAGAGCTAAACCGTGCCAACAGTCTACATACACGAGTTTATGATCAAACTAGAAAACCTCATCAACTGCTGGATATTTTTAGCTCTAAAGTGCCATAAAGGATTTTTGCCCTCAAAGAAGCATCAACGGAAAAAAAGGGAGAGAAAAATGAAAGTGACAAAAATATGTTGTGGAAAATCCCTGTAGATCGATAACACTGGAAAGGTGAGAAGTTACAGTGTTTTTTGTTATTTTTTTCCAACCACCGGGCCTCGTGTTTGATTTGGTGGGGCACACAATTGGCCGCTGTTTGAATCAATACTCAAATCATACATAGCTGCTCTTTGTAACTCCAAGGAGAGGGTTCTGTATTCATAAGAAAATATAACGTATTTTCCACACTAAAACACGCACAGGATTATGAGGCACACCTTTAATGAATGGCCTATTTTGTAATTTTTTTTCATACATTGGGCACGCCGCATTATAAGACGCAATCTACAATGCATCCACTAGATGGAGCTACGCTTAAGGAAACACCAAGAGAACGATCAGATGTCAGTAAAACTTATTTAAGTTCACTCTGCTGTGTATGAAATATCTGGACTGGAGGGGCACTACCCCTGCAACAAAAATGGAATCAGGTCGCGTCAATGGGCCTCATTCACCGATAACCGCATCGAAATGTTTTGACTCTGTGCATAAGCTGAGCGAATAGGGCAATATCACCGTCCATTTTTTTTTTCGCACCACCGTGCATATGGTGATGAATCAGAATAGCACATTGCTTAAAATGAAATGTCAAATACAATACTTATTGAACAGAAAGTAATAATGTGTTTATTTATTTCACCACAAGTCAAAAAGAGGCCACTGGTGTGAACAACTGCACAAATCTTACAGTAAGCCAATATCAACCATGCTGCTGTGCGTCAAAAGACTCTAAACCGACTCGGCCAGTGTTTGAGTTGTACCTCCGTCATAATGGCACACCTATGTGGTACGTAGTAGAGTTCATTCATAAAAATCCCCTCTTCGTACGAAACTCGCTCCCCTCCATGTGTCACACTTGGCAGCTGTTTCATTTTAGGGGCCCACCAGACAGCTCGCAGAGCCAACCCTGAAAGTGCTCTCTGGCCGTGGCTCTTCACTTGATTTAATAAACACTGTCTGCATAATGCATTGTGTTATTTTATAACTTTAAAAAAAATATATCGAGAAACACGTCTTCTGCTTGGAATATATATTACATTTCATTCCAGCCCTGGCTTCTGCTGTTTTAATAAAGTCAAAAGTGTGAGCAGCCGCCCACAGGCTCTGAGCCGCCTGGCGTGATTCACTGACACATTTTTAATCGATGCTGCATAAATTAGGCAGTCTATACAGAGCGATCAATACGCGCTTTGTCAATACGTGGCATCTTTATTATCATGAGGCAAAAAAATTCAGAAAACTACAAAAATCATTAAGTACATTGTTGACATAATTTTAAGGCGGGTTATTTTTGTTGTAAATTTGAAAGAGTGTACATGATGTACATCTCAAAGTAGTCAAAATATCATGAGGACAGTCGTAGAACGATAAGAATAAAGTTGAAATGTTATGAAAAATCCAGTTTTTATTTTATAAGTAAAAGTTGTTTTCAAAATACTGTTTAAATGAAATAAAATTGTACAGTAGGGAAAAACTCACGGGAGTGATGTAGCAATATCTATATAGCATATTTTTGAGTATTGCTGTAATCTGAGTATTCGTCATTCACATTACAATTTATGATATGATGAATTTTCTTGAAAAACACAACTTTATTCCCATAATACTCCAACTTTTTCTTGTAACATTTTATTTCTTGATATCCAACTTTTTTTCCAAGAAGTATGATGGCCACCTCATTGTGCCAGTTTTTTTTCTCAATTTCACTTTTTTCATGAAAAATACAATTTCTCGAAACCCTTTTTTTCCTTAAAAATCCAATTTTGTAAAATTCTGACTTTTTCCTCATTACATACTCTATTTTTTGTGTGTTCTTTTTCCTGCATTTTTCAATACGTTCATTGTTGTTCAAATGCTTCGTGCTCATTTTGAATCTGCACGTGACCTTCATGAACATACGATGAGAAAATCACCTTTGTAGAAAATTTACTTGCTAACTCATTTCTTAACTTGTGAACATGACCACCTTGGGTCAAAATATACAAACATAGAATCCATTTTTTTAAAAGTGCACTTTTCCTAAAAATACCATTTTATAATACAGTTAAAAAATAACATTTAGAATTGTTTCGAATATAATAATATTTTTGTATCATGTACAGTACACAGGTTGCAATTTACAATAATTTTGGGACTCTACAATAATTTCACTCTCTTGTGGCCAGAGATAAAAATGCACTCTGGGTATAAATACACAGATGGTGCCACAATGGAGCTACTGAAGCCCCAACAGAGATCTATGGAGCACCAGTTAAGCCCCCCCCCCAGCCCCCCCAGCATTTTAGTTGATATTCTTGAAAATATATAAATGTCTTTTTTATTATTTTCTCAGCTCCCCTACGTATCAGTCAAGCCCTGGGAGAGGAAAAAGTCCTGGAGCCACCCCTGGATAAACATTGCCATTACACATAACACGCGTGATGAATATGTTGAGGGTCTCCAGTTGACAGCGTGGTTCTCGGAATATTGTTGCCATAGTTCCACACTGTTGGGATTAACGCGGAATGACACTTGGATGTTATCCCTGTACAGCACATTATTTTGGTGCTTAATTCAAAAGTAATTAATAATCCGAGGCCACCTTGCTGGAAAACAGACATAATGGCTTCATCTCACAGGTGGCCACTGAGTGAATTATGGGATGGACCACGTGGATAAACACGTCCCTCCAAGTGACCCTCACATGATGTTACTTCCGTACATAAACACAGGGCGGCCGCGGCCATGCAAACACGCAGCTGTAATTAGTACCATGCACTATTTCCAGCGCTCTTCCAAACACCAGCCCCCCCCCCACTCCTAGGCACCCCCCACCTCACCACCAACCCAACAATCTCCTGCTGTCGCTTCCGTCTCGTGCAGATGCGAGGAGGCTCAAACAAATAGACACATTTCCACCTCCGCATCCACTTCGCCTCAGGTTCCCTCGGCCGACAGCCACCTGTTGCTCGTCTTTAAATGTTAACCGGTGTTGGACGAAGTCCTCTCATGTGGAAATAAGTCCTAGACCTCCACCGCACTCTTTGCTCCCCACTTGGAAAACTCCCAGAAAGTGTAACGACTGATTTCAAACTGAAGGAGAGGCCAGTTTTCTTGTTGCTCACAGTGTCCTCTCAAATAAAAGATTGAGCATTCCTGGTTACGGAATGACAGCAATTATCACACATGCTAATATTAGCTTAGCCTGTGACTGATCCTTAGCTCTAGATGTTGAGTATTACACTCCGCTATCTCCACTTTGCAGCATCTACTGTCTCGTCCTCTCTTGAATAAACTTCCCGTGTTGTAATATGTGTGGACAAATAGCAAGACATGCCCCCCCACCGCTCCCAGCAAACAAATGCTAACATTAGCTTACCATTTTCTGTCTGTATCCGTACTGTAATAGTCGACGGTCTCTTTTATTGGCCACACTCCTGTCTATCCTTATCAACATAGACATGCTGAGAGGTAAATGCAATCATTCTCCTCCACTGTCATTGTTTGTTCGCTCGTCTGGAAGTAACTGATGCGTTCAATCAACGTGGCCTTGTTTTCATAGTTTCCCGTTGTAGCGGGGAGAATCTCAAGGTGACTGCTGCAGCAGGGCATCAAACTCGTGTCCTACTTGCGACTTGTTTTTGTCTTGAGAGGAGAGTCCAGCCAACGATGTAAATCGTTCCTTTTGATCAAACCTAAATTAAACTCGAGCAATTAGTCAAATTAGCGGCATTTAAGAGCATCCATTTACTTAATTAAAGTTAGATGATGAGAGGGCAGCGAGTGAAGAGCAATAGATCTGGATATTGGGTGTCAGCTGGAGCACAAAGTGGGACTCAGCGATGACCGTGTCGCCTCAATCGGATATCGTGTAGAGCTTCCACGGTGTTGCGTGCTGACTTATGAGACACTGGGCCTCTCAATACAATGCGGCGAAATCCCGCCCAGCACAGCCCTGCTACTGATGCCTTCATGCATACATGGATGTACAGCTGTATTCTGTGGCTGCTTTTGTATGTGTGATGACACACTTTTGAACCCGAGGAACTAACGATGTACCGGTGACCAAGTGCCCTTGTCTTAGCTGCACAAAACTAAAAAATCTTGGTTTCAAGGCACTGGTTCTCAAACTTGGGTTCCACGCGAGCTGTAACTAAAATCATGTGTAATAAATTATAGAGTTTGGTCATGTGACGACTGCAAGATGAGCCGTGGTTGTTCGTTACTTGAGCCCTGAGCAACTGTGATGTCATTCTCAGTCAGAGGAAAATGGCCGCCCCCTGGGATTGATAAAAACTGATGGATTTTGCTGCGTAATTCATATTCCACAAACGCAATATTAATCAAACAAGCCTGTTTAGACTAGTGGGGCCGTATACAAGACAAAAATTTCTGACTTGACTTCCCCTTTAACCAAGTAACGATCATTCAAATACACAAATGATGTGCTACCATGAAATGCAGCTATTCAGGCCTTCAAACTGATTGGAATGAATGCCCCTTTTGTTTTTGTCGTCCAACAGCAGATGTCATATCTATGTCCCAGGGCATTCATTCAGTCACCAACATTTAGCATCCTTGCTAATGATTAGCCAAAATGGACCCGCGTCCTTCACTGTTGTGGCGCTCCTTTCTGCCTGCTATGAATAATGAGGGCCGATGGGTTAGCTGCGGGTCACGCCCCGGCTCCCCTCTTTTGCCGTGTTATTTATTCAGCCCAATGAGAAATTGATCACATGATTGCGTTAAGAGGCACCTGATTCGTTATAATCAGCCCGGTATTGGCAGGACTCGGACCCCGGGGCCTAGCTATTGCATTAGGAGTGCTCGGGCAGCCATAGGTCAAAGCCCCCCCTCCTTGCTCACGCCATTTTACAGCTACCTCTGTGACCTTTTCACCACCACCAGCAATGCACACGGCGGATGACAGCGACGTATGACGCAGCTATATTAGCATCCGCTTGACCACATGACAGGGGCGACGCCTCGGGGGACTCGTGCGGGAACAATGAAACGATGATCCGCGCCATGCATTTTTACTTAGTGGGAGATTAGCTGCAACTCTACGATGAGGCTAGTTTTTTTATTTGAGCTGGCGTGCTTGTTGATTTAACCATAACACCTCCACACATTAAAATGGCCTTGGATCCCAGTTTAAACTTTAGCAAACACCTTGATTTAAAAAAAAAAAAAAAAAAAAAAAGATGAAAAAAAAAAACGTTTTGGAAGCAGTTAAACACAAGTTTTCTGCACAAGATGATGTGCAGCAATGTGGCTTTTTGTCTTTTTTAAATTAATCTCAGGATTATATTTTTCCCATTTTTTTACAATTTGCAATCTGACTTGAGAATCATTTAATAAAGACTATGATAGTATAATCGATAATATGGTCTTGATCAAACCTCCAAGGTAAAATTATAATTCCTATTTATAAAAAAAAAATCACATTTGAAACATGCAATCAGTATCCTACATGATATGCATATTTCATTTATAATCACATTACATATATATATATATATATATATATATATTGTGGCCAAAGCAGGCCTTTATTTACGTATATATATATGCTTTATTTTCTATATTTAATTCTTCTCTATAAATTGGAGCTTCACAATTTATCATTTGCAGTCCTTACATTTGTATCTTTTCTGTATCTTAATGTGGTAACCTTTTTTCTGAATGAATGTCCTTTCTTAATAAAGAAACACTTGAATGACATCATAATTATCCTTAGAATACATATCCTATTAATGATCAATAATCATTTCATAAAATTGTACTTCAATAACAACATTATGACATAATTTTAAATCACTGGGTTTAATTCTATTTTCAATGCATCCATACTTCATACAAATGAAATATCAGTTGAATATAATCAAATTCTATTGTATTTAATACGACCTTGTTTTGTTGTCTCTCTCGTGAGCTTTCTCGCCATTGTTGTTGTGCCTCAGTGAGCAGAGTGGCATCCATTTTGACTTCTCTTATTATTTGCTTAATTTGAGATGAAGTGACCCCTTGCGCTATAAACTGTGGCTGAATTCTGGCAGGTCACGCCGTTTAATTTAATCTTCAGGTTTTTAGGCTCGTGTCAAATTAGAGCTCGTATTTTGTTTTTAAAAAAATGTTTTTTTTTTTTTAAGAATAGTAACTAAAATGGGAATGAGGCCCCACCATTGCCACCCGGGATGATTTTCCACTTCTCGCCATCAACGGCATCCCCAAACATCGCTGATGCCTTCCTTTCAGACTTCGCCCCCAGATTGCCAAGGCTGTTGACACTGCAAAACATCTGCATTGAAACGATTCCACTTCCCGCGGCTTGAATAAAATCAAGTCTCGGGCAAAACAACAACAACAGGAAGAGGGCCGTTTTTTTACAATAGCCGTGTTTAAAAATGTGGAGCCATTGGGCGCGTCGGATAGGTGGCGAGGACTGGCGCTAAGCGGCACGCTGTTTCCACTTTCTCAGGCACCAGGAGGAATGTCAACGACCCGAATAACAACGTGTGTCTTTGAGGGGGTTCTGCGGGAGTCTTTATTTGTGGCTTGTGTACAACACACGCGTAAAAATACACAAAGTACAAATATCATCCTTTTCACACACCAGCTGCTTTTGTGTGGGTGGGATTAAACCTCATTTTATTTATGCTTCACCGTGGTGTTTTTTATATAATAATATATTTCTGTCTTTTTGGACTTTAGGACACTTTTTGCAGTCAAATGGAAGGCCAGAGCGCACATTTGAACGCCCAACCTCAGAACTGTGAGTCCGAAGTGCAAAGCACTCTTTCACCATGCCGCCTCGCAATGTTAAAGTGTGTTTTTATTCATTGATTTGTTTTTACATTTCTTGCCGTGTGTCATCAAATATTACATTGAGGCGTCAATTTTATTAACTGGCAGCTTAAGAGCAGCAAGAAAACGGAGTGCTAAAACAAAGCGGAGACTGCGGGCTATAATATTTTAGCATTCAGAGCTAAAGCGTAACAACAGGATGAGCTAACCTTAGCGCGTGTTTATTTTTTTTTTTTCTTGTCTCGACTACGTATTCCCAAATATTGTCCTGAAGCTGCGCTTTTATTCAACGGAAGATTAAGGGCAGTGAGAACATGGAGCGCTTCAGTGAAGTGGAGACTATGGAGTAGAAGGACTCCAATGTAGGCTAAGCAAATGTGTGCATGTGTGTTTATTTTGTCATTGTACCTTCAACGGTTTTATTCAACAAGAGATTAAGAGAGGAAAACCAGAAGCGTTGCAGCCAAATAGAGACTATGGAGTATAATACTGCAGTGTTCAGAGTGAAGGCGCACCGAGTGTAAGCCGTTAGCATCCACTGGACAGTGTTTGCGCATGGAAAGAACACTTTTCTGGTCAATCATTAGCTAATAACAGCCTCTGCTTCACATTAGGCGCTTTTGACACGCACGCACACACACGCGTGCACACACACACACACACACACACACACACACACACACACACACACACACATACACACACACTTTGCAGTGACAGTGACAAGTACTCCACTTCCCTTGAGCACGACACGCGTTTGGATTCTTACATAAAACAGAAGTCGCAGACGCGGCAAGCGTGACAGTTTTGATGACAGCTAGCTTCTACATTTCTGGTGACTCGTGATGGATGCACAGTGGCGTGTTATACCTCAAATACTGCAAAACATTTGTACAAGCCAGAGAGACGTTGACCAAAAAGAGAAGCGTGTTTCCACAATAATTCTAGACACATTTGCTCTGTGAAGCCTACTAAAAAAATCAAAATAATTAATAAAAAAATATGATGTAACAAAAGAACTAATATACTATACTTTATTATGATTATGTGTAGGTTGCTTGGGCGCTTTTATACAAGTTCCTCTCAGGCTTCCTTTTCCGGATTGTACTGCACATCACATCAAATCCATTTGTGCCATATATGGTTCGCGAGCCGTAGGTTACGCACAATTTTTTATTTTATTTTTTAAAGAAAAGAATGACGACTGAATGTAAAGAGCAACCGAGAATTTCACTTAAGAGTAGATTATACTCTTAAGTAGCATTACACACAAAAAAAAAGACAATGGCCAACAGAGGGAGACAGAACGGAGATGCCTGATGAATCGTGGTTTTAGCGCACCCTTTTTTCTCAGATGGAAAAAATAAACACATAAGCAAGGAAGGATGATTGGGGTGGGGGGGGGGTGACAAATAATCATACTTTGGGACAATATGGAGCGTTCCATTAACCTACCATGCATGTTTTTGGAATGTGGAAGGAAACGGAAGTACCCAGAGAAAACCCACGCAGACACGGGGAGAACATGCAAACTGCGCACAGGAAGGCCGGAGCCGGAATCGAACCTTGCACCTCTGCACTGTGAGGCGCGATGTGCTCACCAGTCGCCCACCGTGCTGCAATAATGAATTAAAAGCTGTTGAAAAAAATATATACATCCACTGTAAATTTGAGATGCTTTTCACCCCAAAAAACGTAGTCAAAATATTTCAAATGAAAGACAAAAACTATTAAACACCGACACACATTCAGCAATGGGAAAAAAAATGTCCACTCAACTGATGATGTGACTCGTCATAAACTGGATCATAATCATCCATTTGTTTACATATAGAGACTCCATTGATGGCCGAGCATGAATGGGGATGTCTCTCCATACAAATAGTATGTAAAGCTCATAAATGTGCCTTTGTTTGGACCAATGACATGCGCTGTTACCAAGCTATTGTTACAGAGGATTGTCCTCCATTGCCCAAGCAATATCACAACAGATTGGAAAAAATACCTTTTGGAATTTGAAAAAAAAAACAAAAAAACAAAAAAAAAAAAATCCAAATTTCAATCGATGTCATACATGACATCATGTACGATGTTCAGTGGGCTTTGATTTTTTTTGCAACAGGCTTCAGCCAAGTTGTTAAGGGAAGATTATAAAAAGAATGTTACAATCCGAAAGTTAAAGTTGACTTTTTTAAAAAATAATTTCTTTTCCATTTTGCCGTGGCTGAAAGTTTATTAATTTGACCCTGGATCAGATTCTTTCCATTTTCATGTTAAAATGTTACTCAAATCATTGGCAGTTCAGCGATTTTTGTTTTTATGGTAACTACAATTTTGATCCGGGCCTCGACCATGTTATTTTGATTTCCATTCTAGGTTAATTAAAATATTACCTTTAATGCTAATAAAAGTTTGATGTTTGCCACAGTTTCACCCTGTAGATAAAAATATTACTATTTACCTCCATTTATTGTTGTTATTGTTATTATTTAATCTTTTTAAGAAATGTGTCGGCCTTTGTGAGGCTCTGCCTTTTTAAAAAGCCTGCTCTTGTTGAAATATATTTAAAAAAAAAAAAAGTATAATGATGTTTTCACTAGGTAAAGCACACTCAGAAAAACAAGATACCCAGTCAGTTTTTACGGCGATCCGGGTCAGTTAAGCTGCAATCGGCCTCCAAGTGCAGTTTGCCTTGTTTGGAAAATATGGGCATCGTCCCCCCCACAGAGCACCGCGAGAGTATTCATTTACACCCCTCCAATAAATCCATTAAAAGTACACTTTCATATATAGGTCTTGATTTAAGGTGGAACTGGACACACTTGCAATACAATACGTCGGAGTTAACGTTCAGCCGTTTGGCCACACGTTATGTCAACATGACCGGGAATGACTTCACAAACAAAAATGCTTACGAGCGCTCTTCCATTATGTATGATATCACGGGCAGAGTATGTAATGGAAACGACTTTTGGTCATGGAGCACTGCGGAGGCACATGGCCGCTTTTGTCCGGGCGGGATTATCAGGAGCGGACGCTCACAAAAGGAAATGCTTGTGGAGCTACAGTAACAGAAGGATAAAAT